CGGAAGAGTAATTGATTATCGTTTTAGCGTTGCGCGAGGATTTAGCACACACTCAGATGAAAGTGAAACAACCAGTGATGACACCATAAGTTTTTACGTGCAAAACCTGCGAAAGAGAAAAACAATGGGGCTTGGCCCAATTGTAAAAATCCATTATAAGTTGATTACAGATGCCCCTTGTCTCACAAGTGGGAAAATGTTACTAGTTTTTTAAGTTATAACGTTGAATGACGACGTCTAGTCAGCGGTGGTCGACGGTGATTGACGGTAGTCGATGACAATCGATGAGGGTCAGCGGTGGTCGACGAAGGTCAGTGGTGGCTGACGACAGTTGATGGCGATTGGCGGTGGTCGACGAAGGTTAGCGGTGATCGGCAGTGGTCGACAAAGGTCGGTGGTGGTGGTCGACGGTCGGTGGTGGTCGACGGCGATTAACGATGGCAGGGATGATCTTGGACTATCAACGATGGTCGCAGACGATTGATGGTGGTCGACGAAGGTCGTGTGAAGGGTAGAGCTCTATTTATAGTGTTTTGGGTGCAATTAATGCAGGAATATGAACCATTTTGATCGGACGGTCCGGAGAGCTTCCCTTGATCAGATGATATTTGATGGACATTTGAGTGCCTTAATGATGTCCGAATTGAGCAATCTTGGGCTCGTTGGATTTGACTTGTCGAGATGCTCGATTCGACTATGAACTCGCTAGATTCGACATTCGTTTGACCTTTCAAATGCCTCCGAAAATCCTCCAAGAGTGGTTTAATGATTTGATCTGGACTTGATTTGACTTACTTTCATATCATTAGGTCTGTCTCATCGAGCCGATCAGTTTGACTGTAAGTTTGCTGAAATCAAAGCTCTAGATGACTTTTAATTGAAGTTTGAATGTTTCTTGTTCAAAAAATTGCCTCAAGATTTGTGTCTGATGATGCAAATTTTTTGGTGGCACATCAAGTAGGTTAGGAAGTGTAGTAGGGACACATCAACATGAGACTCTTCTTGTGTATGATGATTATTGAAGAGAAAAAAAGTGGGGCATGCAAATTTGGCATTTGCATACCACACAATTCTTATATATTTATATGTCAATTACCTAAACTTTCCAATTTATATACATATCATTAAAATCTTTGGCACCACATCTAATATATCATTATCAGTAACTTTTTAAGTTGATACGTATTTTCATGCATAAATTTTTAATATTGAAGTTTTATAAATGTAAACATAAGAATTGTGTTGTACGTATGTGTAAGGGTGTAAACGAACCGAACACGAACGAACAAAGCTTGTGTTCGTGTTCTGTTCGTTTAAAATTTAATTTGTTTGAAATAAGCTCGTGTTCGTTTCTTAACGAACGAGCCGAACACGAACCGAACACGAGCTGGT